ATTTATTGCTCTTTCTATGACTTATCATAGGACTTCCTTGACTTCTCTATTGTGATATGTTTTAGGCTGACCTCTGGTGAAGTAGATATTATGTAGATGGATACACATCTACTTTTCTGTGGTTCCAGCAATATGGTGAACTAAGCTAATTTGGAAGCCTTCCAGCTATAAGCCCTTAGAAACACTGGGTAAAGAAAACTACAAGAACAGCCAAAACCAGTTTGGCTCAGTGGATAGAGCCCTCAGCTGTGGACTGAAAGGTCCCAGGTTCGATTCTGGTCAAGGGCATGTACCTTGGTTGTGGGCACATCCCCAGTAGGGGAGAGCAGGAGGCAGCTGATCGATGTTTCTCTCTTTCTAACTCTTTATCCCTCTCCCTTCCTCTCTGTAAAAAAAATCAATAATATATATATATTATACAAGAACAGAAAAAGTTATTTTTAACTGCTCTTTCCAGAAAGAAGGGAACCTTCAAGTGCTAGAAACATGGAGGAAATCCAAAGCCAGACTGATGAATATGAGAACTGAGGCTGATGGGAGCAGTGCTGTTGGTTCCTGGTTTGTTTCAGGGTTTAATCCTCAGGAACAGATGCCCTCTGAGGTCCAACTGAAGGGGAAGGTAGAAACAGAGATATCTCCTTATGAGTAGGACCCTCAAAAGCTTCAGTCCCAGTCTAAGAGGACTAAACACCGCAGCCAACAAGGTAAGAAGATGACAATTAACTCTGTTTAGAGAAAAACAAGTCTTCTGATCCCTGACCAAGAATCAAACCATTAACCTTTTAATGGGTGGACAACTCCCAACCAACTGAGCCACACCTGCGAGGGCAAAAAGTAGTAATCTTTGTCCTAGATTCTTTGTAGAAGTGAAATGTACCAATAGGATGAACCAACTATTCATCCATTTTCTCATGAGAAAATAAAGTGCTTGTGTGCTATGCACATTTAAAGTATCCATATTGGAAGTTTTCTTCAATTCAACTGGTATTTTTATATAAGAAACAAGCTTGAATATTTTGAAAGGCTTACCAGTAATTTAAATGTTCTGAACTGAAAAGGTAGTTTTCATCATCCCCTCATGTATAGGTACTGAGGCCTGATGCATGAAATCTGTACGAGGGTAGGACTTCCTTCCCCTGGCTGCCAGCACCAACTTCCCTCTGGCACCCCGAACCCAGGCTTCCCTCAGAGACCCAGCTTCGTCCGGAAGGACATGTGTTCTACTTAGCATATTATGCTTTTATTATTATAGACTATTACGGATGGTTGATTGAATCATTAGCCATCTAATTGAACTCCACCTCCGGCCCCCCACCTCTCAGTGAAGGTCAGGCTGATAACATGTGGCTCAAATCCTTAATCCTTTAATCACATGGTTGTCTTTTGGGCATGGCCAGCCCTTCTCTGGCCACTAGTCATCTCCTTAAAATAAACCGGGGACCCAACAACCCCTTATTAGCATAAATTATCAGGATCCCCCATGAGCAACAAAAATACTCCTATATATTTCCAAAGATGTCATCAATATATTTGTAAAGTGCTGTAAAGGACAGCAAAGCTCCCATGGTGCAACAGCAAATTGGGAGAACAATTTGTCAGAGAGTCTTCCCGGTTTAGGTTCAGGTTACGGGGTAGGTTGGAGAGACTCTTCCTGAATAGTTTTGTTTTATGCCCTTTCCCCATTAAAGCTCGACAGAACACATGAGAATTTGTAATCATTAAAGACAATGATATAAAAAATAATGCTCAATTTCAAAAATTCAAGTTCCTAGTCATAGGCACTTTTACTGAAAAACAGTTGTTTCATCACTTTGGCTTCTGGGAGAAGTGCTTGGCACGCCATGGGCAGGATTGATGAAAACATGAGGCAGCAGAAAGTCTCAGCACAGTGCAGTCTAAAAGGTCTGTCAACATCCTTTACATAATAAATAATGGAGTCACTGGAAAACTACCTTTAAAAGCAGAAGCTTCTGGCCAAAATTAAAGATTTGCCAATGCATTTGAGAAATAAAGTAGCAGGAAGCAAAAACCAGGAGATATTCAGGGCAAGTTTTTTTTTTTTTTTATGTAAACATCCACAAGGAAGTACATATGTAATAAAATCTCATTTAATCAAATTACACTAAATAAAAATTTGCATTGTATGTCTTTGTCAAGGCGGAGGTGGGGGAAGTGAGCAGGGGAGGAAGAGTTATCACTTGGCTAAAGGCAGCTCTGAAATGGTATTGCTAATCTGCGTGAGCCAAGGAGGAGTGTAAAGAACAGGACAAGCTGACTTCTCCTTCATGTTTGGTTGACTTTTTCTGCCCACATAGTTTTGAGAAGCCCCCTCGTAGGTATCACCAACAAATGGTTCACATCCACTGGATGTGAAATTTAAAATGATTGCATATCAAGAGCAGAAAGAAGTCATTTCTAATCATGGGGGGAAATATGGAAAAGAGATTTTGAATGGAAATTCTTGGATTCTCTGTAGCCAAGGAATGAAGCCATTTCTAAAGTACTCTGCACAAAAGATTTTTATTCTGTGTTTGATTAAGAGGGGTTAGAAAAGGATATAGAAAATCCACAGCCCACCGAGAGCTAAGGCCAAGGATTTTCTGCGCGGTGAAGAATCAGGTCAGGGACTCCTAATGAAGCCCTTTTACATCAGGCCCTGGCAGACAGAGCTGGTAGACTTTGCAACTACCAAGGGGAATTGGGCCATTTCTGGAAGAACAAATGATTAGGAAATCAGACACTCTTTCTTGGTCAGGACAAAAGGGGTATCTCAACAAAGGAAATGGTAGTTAAAACATTTTACTCAGCAAATTCTGCAACTTCTTAAAAGGGGAGAATTTTAAATTATGGAGTAACCCAAATTAATTAATAGTTGCCTACCTAGAGCCCCAAAGTTTTGTTTGCATTAAAATTGTAATGCTAAAGTATTTTTCCACCTCATTAAATCTTCCAATGTTTGCCAGCTGGGTCTTATTACATACTATATTCACTAAGGAAATACCTTAGTCATTGGAAATCAAGTGATTATATCTTTTATTTTAAATATATTTTATTGATTTTTTTTACAGAGAGGAAGGGAGAGGAATAGAGAGTTAGAAACATCGATGAGAGAGAAACATTGATCAGCTGCCTCCTGCATACCTCCTCCTGGGGATGTGCCTGTAACCAAGGTACATGCCCTTGACTGGAATTGAACCTGGGACCTTTCAGTCCACGCAGGACGAAGCTCTATCCTCTGAGCCAAACTGATTAGGGCTTCAAGTGATTATATCTTAATTCTTATATGAGTTTCAGGGGTAAAATTCTTCAAACAGATTAATGCAAAGAACAGGAGCAAAATATTTTTAAACTAAATAACAGCTTTATCTTTTTTCTCTACTCCTCTTTAAAAGCAGTAATCTTTATTTAACTTAGGGATATAATGTTAGGGAGTAATGTCAAAATATTGACATATAAGATCAGGAGAGGCCCAATGCACGAAATTTGTGCAAGAGTAGCAGCGCCCCCCCAGCCCCCCACCGCTGACAGCACTGGCTTCCCTCTGGCACCCAGACAGGGTTTGTCCAGAAGGATGTCCAGACTAATTAGCATATTGCACTTTTATTTTATTATTATAAACTAGAGGTCCAGTGCATTAAATACATGCATGGTGGGTGGGGGGAGTCCCTCAGCCTAGCCTGCAACCTCTTGCAATCTGGGACTGCTGGCTCCTAACTGCTCACCTGCCTGATTGCCCCTAACTGCTCACCTACCTGCTTGATCACCCCAACCACTCTGCCTACCTGCCTGATCGCCCTTAACTGCCTCTGCCTTGGCCCCACTGCTATGGCTTCCTCTGGAAGATCATTTGGCTGTCAGGTCTATTTAGCAGATTACACTTTTATTATTATATATTGTATTCTCTATTTTAAAAGTGCAAAATCTTTCATCAAGGATTTTTGAATGAGAAAATGTGTTTATGTCAATGTCCTAAATTGAATGATTGAAACCTAAAGGTTTAATGATGGAAGCCTGTGCTACCGGCCTGCAAGATGACACCAATGATCCCTGACTCCAGGTGGTCATGTCCTTGCATACTCTCCTCCCACATTGAATTGGGCTTACCTGTAACTTTTAGGATATTTGGGGAATGACATTGTATGACTTCCAAGCCTACATCATGAAAGATGACTTTCACCGTGTTCTCTCTTGGATGCTTGCTATGGAGAAAGGGATAACACTCAAGAGATTCTAGAGAGGTCCTCATGGCTGGGAAATGAGACTTCCTCCCAACATCTGTGTGAGTGAGCCATCTTGGAAGATGATCTTACAGCCCCAGTCAAATCTTCAGATGAATGCAGCCCAGGCATCATCTGATTTTTTAATCAGCGACTTGGCTCAGTGGGTAGAGCGTCGGTCTGCGGACTGAAAGGTCTCAGGTTCGATTCCAGTCAAGGGCATGTACCTGGGTTGCAGGCACATCCCCAGTAGGGAGTGTGCAGGAGGCAGCTGATTGATGTTTCTTTTTCATTGATGTTTCTAATTCTCTATCCCTTCTCCCTTCTTCTCTGTAAAAAATCAATAAAATATATTTTAAAAAAATAATAAGTATTTGTAGGTTAAATAACCCCCTCAAAAACCAATAACTTCTGACCATTTATGCATTCCAAGTTGCTGAATGTGCCAAGTCCGTGAACCCTCAGTGGAAATTGTGGAGCCTGTTCCACCAAAGAATTTCTAAATAAAGCTCCAAATCTTTTTTAAAAAATTAAAATTTGTGCCCTAACGCAGTGCCGTGTTTCAAATGTCTTGCCTAATTTGCCCTGGATTCCTCATTTGGAGGCTGGCAGAGGGATGTGATCCCTGCCCTTGAATCTCCTTCCTTTGTGAATCTCCCCACCACCACCCCCCACCCCCCACCCCAATGCGTACACATTTCCCAGGCAGAGGAGCGCATGCCGCGGCTGCGCCCAGCCCATTGGCGTGTGTGAGCGCGGGTTTGGAGCTGTCAGCTGATGGAGGCTGCCTAGGACCCAGAGGGAGCCGCTCCCCTCGCCCTGCAGCGCCTCCGCGCCGACCGGTGCAGCCCCCTCCTCTCACTTCGCAGCCCCCCGCCGGGGTTTTGGCACCTCTTGGGGGCGGAAAACTCCGCCATCCCTGACCGCGGGCCGTGCCCGTGGCTTGGGGGGCCGAGCGCGTATGCCAGCCGGTGCGCTGGGTGGGCCTGCGGTGGGGGCGGCGGGCGGCCTTATTCCCCGCTAGGGCCGGACTCAGGGGCAGGAAGGGGCCCGCCAGGCTCTCCCAGCCCAGCCAGCGCGCTCCGACCCTCCCGCTGGCCCAGGGCACCAGCTCGGCCGCAGCTCCGTGCCCAGCACCAGGCGCGAGTGGGCGGGCCCGCGGCGCCGCTCCCACGCTCCAGCCCCTCCCCCGCCCCTTCCTTCCTTCCCCGCCGCGCTCCGGGCGGCCGCCGGCGGATGCGAGCCGCACCGGGCGCCCCAGCTCAGTGTGCGCCCGCGGGCCGGGGGCGAGCCTTGGGTGGTGGCCCTTCTGGGCGGCTCGGGGCCGGCTCCCCGGCGGGCGCTGTGAGGCGGGGCCGGGGGGAGGAGGCGCTTGGCGGGGGCGTGGGGCTCCCCGGCGGCGGCGGCGGGAGGGACGGAGCCAGCCGCGCCGCCGGACAATGAGCCGGGCCGCCGGGCGCTGCGGCCGCTGCTAGGAGGAGGAGGGCGCGGGAGGGCGGCTCAGCGCCTCCACCTGCGCGGAGGGCGGGATGCCCGAGCCAGGTGTCCCCGCGCTATAAAGGCCCCTGGCGGCCAAGCGTTCCGGAGGAGTCGGTTCTTGCATTGAGGCTGGGCTACCTGCAGGCTTTGGCTGGGACGTTTTTTGGTTTTGGTTGGTTTTTTTGTGTGTTTGTGTGCGGGGAGCCCTAGGAGCCTCCACGATGGCGAGCAGCACCAGGAGCATCGAGCTGGAGCACTTCGAGGAGCGGGACAAAAGGCCGCGGCCTGGGTCGCGGAGAGGGGCGCCCAGCTCGTCCGGGGGCAGCAGCAGCTCGGGCCCCAAGGGCAACGGGCTCATCCCCAGCCCGGCGCACAGCGCGCACTGCAGCTTCTACCGCACGCGCACCCTGCAGGCCCTGAGCTCCGAGAAGAAGGCCAAGAAGGCGCGCTTCTACCGCAACGGGGACCGCTACTTCAAGGGCCTGGTGTTCGCCATCTCTAGCGACCGCTTCCGCTCCTTCGACGCGCTGCTCATGGAGCTCACCCGCTCCCTGTCGGACAACGTGAACCTGCCCCAGGGCGTCCGCACCATCTACACCATCGACGGCAGCAGGAAGGTCACTAGCCTGGACGAGCTGCTGGAAGGTGAGGCGGGGAGGGCCCCGCGCAGCAGGTGCGGCCCAGCAGGTGCAGTCGCCGCGGGGCCGCGCGCGCACACCCACGTAGGGAGGCGGGGGGACGCCTTTCGGGGTGTCTTCTAGGCCACGGGAATTGTAGGGAATTGTACGTTCTGCCTGCTTTTCCTTAAGCTCTGTGTGGAGCGCGCTGTTATCCTCTGATTGTCCTTCCCAAGAGATTTGCCTTAAAAAGAAAAAAGAACAAAGAATAAAATCCTAAAGGGCTTTGGACTTGGGTGACATCTCTTAAAATGGGCGAACTTGTTTTTTGTTTTTGTTAACTGCAAACTATTTGGAAAGGAGGCTCTCCGGTGAGGATCTGGGTAACCCTTGAGCTAATAAGCTGTTTGCTCAGCACTCTGCGGGCCTCAGTGGAGACACCTGTGGTGCCAGCCTGTGGGAGGGACCCTGCGGTATCTGCTTTAGTCAGAGGCTGTGCTAGGAAAAGCTCTGGGTTGGCTTTCCTGGTTGGACTCCCAGCAGAAGTTAGATGAGGTCAGGAGGGGTGATCCTAGGCGATTGTTCTGAACCTTGACTGCATCCTGGGTCACTGGCGACTTTAAAAAATATAGGTGCCCGCCACGGCCCTCCCCACTCCACTTCCAGGTTAGGATGTAATTGGTTTGCGGTGTGGTGTGGGCATCCCGAGTTGTGAAAGCTCCACAGGTGATTCGAATGTGCAGCTAAGGTTGAAAACCACTGTGCGCTAAAGGGTTTTCTACGTTTGGTTGGCGATGAGGTGAGTCAAGGTCAATCTCTCTTGCCCTATCTTCTGTTGAAATTAGCTGGTTAGGAGGACGGTGAGAAGCCATTGGAATCAGCAGTTGCTTGGCAACTGCTTCTCTCTAAAGGACTGATTGGATGTATGTTGTGTCATCCTTGAATTCCTGCAATGCTTTTTTTTCCTTTTTTAAAAAAATATATTTTATTGATTTTTTACAGAGAGGAAGAGAGAGGGATAGAGAGTTAGAAACATCGATGAGAGAGAATCACTAATCAGCTGCCTCATGCACATCCCCTACTGGGGATGTGCCCACAACCAAGGTACATGCCCTTGACCAGAATTGAACCTGGGACATTTCAGTCCACAGGCCGACGCTCTACCACTGAGCCAAACCAGTTTTGGCATCTTCTTTCCCTTTAAAGGAAAAAAAAAAAAAAAAAAAAAAGCATTACTAAGTACAGGCATATGTAGGAGACATTGCAGGTTCGGTTCTAGGCCACCACAATAAAGCGAGGATTACAATAAAGTGAGCTGTAATCTTTTTGCTGATGGAGGGTCTTGCCTTCAACTTGTAAAGAAACACAACACCTGTGAAACACAATAAAGTGAAATTCCAACAAAACAAGGTGGCCTTTAGATAATAGAACCTATTTCCAGATCTAAATACCCTGTTTCCCCGAAAATAAGACAGTGTCTTATATTAATTTTTTCTCCCAAAGTTGCGCTAAGTCTTATTTTCAGGGGATGTCTTATCTTTCCATGCGCTAGGTCTTATTTTCGGAGGATGTCTTATTTTCAGGGAAACACGGTAGCACCTGTAAAGATTAGACAGAACCCAAATATTTGCTGCCTGCATGCTAACATAGAGTCTGCCCTTGGCACCTTTCTTCATGCCAATGGCACATTTGCTATAGTCATAGCAACATTGGCTTGGCAGGGAGAGGAAACTGAACTTGGAGCCAACTCTTTTTCTTATATCATTTCATCCTGTTCTTATGTTATGTTCTGAAGGCACTGTGCCCATTTATCTCTCTCTCTCTCTCTCACACACACACACACACACACACACACACACGAGGAAAGTAACACGACTTGTCCTGTAATTGCTGCAGTAGATGGTCTTTCTTCTGCAGTTCACTTCCCATACACTGATGTGGCCACACTGAGGAGTCCTGGAAGTGGCTGAGTTTCTCTATTTAGTCGCTGTTGCCAGAAGTTTCCCCTTGTCTGGCTAGATGAGGACCCAGCCAAACTTACATTGTCTCATCAGCCTGTGTGTGTGAGCGACTTCACACATTCTCTTGGGCAGTTGTGTGTTTTGGCTTTAAAGGCCACCCGAGGAGGTGATACCAACTGGAGGAGGAGTTGTAAAATAAAGATACATTGTTAAACAGGCTTTTATCGCTTCCTTTCTTTATGGTGTTAGAAATGTGAAGAGCAACATTTGTCTAGATATTTCAAAACTGAGTAACAGATTGACTGACACTAGAGTAGCAGTCCCATGGACAGATCAAGGCAATGCCTATGGATTCTGCACCCGTTACTGGCATGCCCTTGGGACACTGTGCCTGGGGTGGTCCGAAGAGTTTTAGTACCTTCCTCTGAAGTAATTTTAACAGTACATTTGCTATATGAAATTATTGTACTCTGAAGATGAGTATCATTGTAGGGGGAATTTGGTCAAGATAACCATTAGGCACATTAATTAATGAGAACACATATTATACACTTGTTTCTCATTTGCCTAGTCTAATTCTCAAACTAGTTTCGGCTGTACATGAAAGGGTTGGAACATTTTCTTCCCAAGAGGATGAGACCCATAGAGTCCAAATTATACCATCAGATGACACATAATGATGCAACAAATATTTGCACAACAGAAATGTTTCCCTAGTCTAGTCAATTGATTGCTTGTTTCTAGCAGTACTCAGTTACTGCAAAAGAAAAAATTTGTGCACTTCTTTTGTCATAGTGGCATTCTCTCTGACAATGGATCTTTGTCTAAGTCTTGAATATTCCAGTAGTGAGTGGAGTACCCTGTTGAAAGAGAGATTTTAAGAAAAAAATAAACAACAACAAAAAACCCATCTATGCTCTAATATCAATTATTAGAGAATTTAAATAGTTTCACATTTTAATTAAAATTGTGTGCTCCAGTGTTTAGATTTACCACACAGAAGAACTTAGTTTTTATTAGATCAGTAAAAATAGGTCTGTAATATTGCCCATGTTAAAATTGACTAAGATTCTCTGCTATTTTTTACACCATTATGGTTGACTCTCTTCTCCTCTGCCTCTTCTATCCCATGAAGTTTGTAGTTTAGGAAACACTGTTTTTCCTAAAAGGTTTTCAGTGAGGAATAGAGAAGGTGATGGCTCAAAAGACTGCCCTTGGCATGAACTCTCCTTCAGAACCCCAATCCCATTGAACTCAGATGACAAAAGAAATTTGCATGACCCAGATTTTTTTTCTGCCCTTGACATTGAGAGTCTCTGGCAACTGAAAACAGTGCTGGTGTCTGCTGGCACTCCTGTGCTGCCCTAGGCCAGCGGACATCAGCCTCTTGCTGGACCTCACCGCGCTAGTTTAATTTCACTGGTTGGTGCTGGGTATCCCGGTAGTCCTGTTTATTCTTTAAAACCGGATGGGGACCTTCTCTCAGAGGAGGACTGTTTGTCATAACCATCAATCTTGGGGGAAATGAGACTGAGTTGGGTGAAGCTGTGAGCCAGCTGAGTTTGTGTCATCTCCGGTACATAACTGAAGCTGTCCGGATGACTCACTCTTCAGTTCTCACGTTCCAAGCTAAGAGTCAGAACTCCAAGTCTCAGTTTTATTCCGTAATTGTTCTCACCTACTGAACATTTTGGCTGTATCTGTAAAATATTGGTGTCCTAAAGAGAGATGGCCAAGAATGGTAGAAATGATGGCTGAGCAAGTGAAGATCCCTGGGTTCTGCTCACTGTAGATTTGAGGGGGGAAAAAACTCACCTAGTTCCCAGGGCCTCAGTGTCCTTTTCTGTTCAGGAAAGGTGGAACATTTGGCATATCCCCTCTCCAAGTCAGATGCCTTCAGGTCTAAAAGGACATGCTCTTTCTCTACCCATGTGGCTACTTACTGAGTATATGAGGGCCTGGACTGCCTTTCCCTACTCAGAACCTTCCAGAAAACTGACAAGGCTGAAGCTGTCCTCCTCTCAAGCAGGGAGTGGGTGTGTGGCTCTGGTGAAGTGTTTGCCAGGAGCCAAGATAATTAATTGCCACCAGTCTCTGCCTCTCTCATTTCAACAGCAAAATGTAATTTCGTTTTATCTCTGCCTGTTACCCCTCAGTCAACAGTAAGTAAGCTGATTGAATTTTTGGCATGTGAGAGAATTTTTGTGATTTTAAAAAAATAATTATTACCGAGCATGATTTTATTAATTGGAAGGAGGATGGGAGGAAGGGAGGGAGGGAGAGGAGGGAGGGAGAAGGAGAAAGGGAGAGAGGGAAGCATTGATTGCCTCCCACACACAACGCTGACTGGGAACTGAACCGCAACCTCTTGGCATATATGGGATGATGCTCCAACCAACTGAGCACCCAGCCAGGGCCATTTTTGTGATTTTGATAAGTGATAACTTCCATTCTTCAAGTTAACTTGAAAATGCACATGAACAAATTTGAATTTAAGGAAAGTAAGCTTGTAAAGAAATTAAGCACTCAAGTTTCTGAGGTTCTCTTACTAAATCTAGTTTATTGAATCTGCTGGGTTTGGTCAATTTATTTGAAGGTGTTAAACTAAAATGTAGTGACTGAGAGAGTTTTAAGTAAAAAATAAGTCTCTAAAGAACCCATATCGTGGGATTTTTTTCAGCCTTGAAAGGTGGATTTTTATAGTAAAAATCAAAACTTAGCTATTGGAACTTATTATGGGATTACATTCCACCCCCCCCCCCCAACTGTGAGTTATAAGACATATTTGCAAAAATAAGTCAAAAGCTGAATGCATTAGAGGCATCTAGGATGATTGGACATGGCAGTTTAACATTGAATCTTAGGTCTGCAAAGCTTTCTCTGCTTGGCAGACTACTATAATAGATTCTTTAGGACCTGCTTCACGTGTTATCCCTCTGGGACGTCTTTTCCCACACCTCGGGACATTGGTCTCAAATAGTTGTTGATCAAGAGCATATTTTTGTTGTTTCAGATGCTGAGGGTACAGTTTCTTCCCTCAAGATGCTCACAGTTAGAAGGAAAGAGA